ACAGTGTTATTTGCCCTTTCGTTGTCAGCTGAACTTACTGGTATCGTACAAGGAGTACGTAACATAGTAGACGGTTTGTGTTTGGGAATCGTCGTAGCTTCATCAAATGAGAAAGGCTTTATTTTCCTGTTTTACTTATTTTGTAATTTTATTTAGATTTTAGGGGGTTCGACCCAACCCCTCAAGATCCGCTCCAGTATTTAGAGCGATACAAGAAGAAAGTAGCGTGTTTATATCTAGCCACATTTTTCAGTCTTCTGTTTTATTAGAATATACTTTTCCCATTGCAACAGTGTTACAGACAGTTAGCTTGTAACTCAGTGTCGAGCATAGAAATTTCATGTATTTAGTCTCATTGTTATTTAAAACCAGAATGCAAAGCAACTCAGTTACGCTTCGACAAACTAACCGTGCGAAGAACCAATCACTAACGACAATATTGCTATTGATAAGATTGACGTTGTATCAGTGCTGATCTTTCATGCTTGCTTAGGCGATATTATTTCCTATTTGTATTCCAAATTCATCAATTGACAATGTTCGGCGATTACGCAAAGGAAAAGTACTCAAGTTCTGCTTAGTATGAAGGTGAAGTGGTACAGTGTTCTTGTGTTGCTTGCTGGAGTCATTTTAAGTTTTGCTGATCTGATCACCGACATCCTCACACTGGTGGAATTCTACCGCGCGGATCACAAGACAAGGTTTGGCGTGGGACTAACGTTTGTTATTTTGCCATGCTTGTTTTTCCCGGTACTGTACGCGGGTATGATTGTACCTGACGGTATTGAACACCACACTCGCGTTAGGATATGTGTGCAAACGTTGCTTTGTGGTTGCCATCCGTTTTCCGCCGCTTTGAGGAGGCTAGAAGGGTTTGTTTTCTACTTGAAGCAATTGATGCGTGGCGATGAAATCGACTCGCACAGAAGGACGTAGGCTGAGGATGACATACAGAGTAACATCTCTTATTACGTGTTCTTTGAGTCAGTTCTCGAATCAGCCCCTCAGTTTGTAATTCAGCTTTACGCCGTGAATGTTCAAGAGGAGCCGGTGACACTTGTTCAAATCATTTCTTTGCCTGTCTCTTTCGTAAGCCTAGCTTGGGCTTTTACAACTGTTGATTTGGAAGTGCACCGAAGGGAAGGAAATGGCAATGCCCGGAAAGTAGAATACAAATTAGTTGATGTGGAGCATTTGGATAAAATACACGGAAATGGCAATAGCCCAAAAGTAAAATACAAATTAGCTCTCTTTGTAACACAAGTATTGCTGTTGAGCAGTCGACTTTTTGCCATCTGTTACTTTACGGTCGGCTATAAGTGGTGGGTGATGGGTGTTTTGTTCCTTCATATTTTTGTGTTAGCGATAACAGACACCGTTTGGGTTTGCCGAAGGGCCAAATGCGAATCCGGATTTCTATTTTTTTCAATCTTCGTGTATTGCCTAAATTGGCTAAGGGATGACGTCTCAGGACTGCTTCAGAAAGTGCTAGGAAATGGACACAGCAACAAAGAACTGCGAAGAATGCAACTGTTTTCTAATGTACTGTTTGCTTTAGAAAACATGGTCATGATTCTGTCGTACAATTTCAGTCAACACTCCAACAACTGGTACTCGTTACCACTCACAGTCTGCGTGTTCGTGCTCAGTGCTCTTGCTGCCGTCACAAGAGTTAAACTTTTCCATTTCTTACATAAAGACTTACACGGCGAAATTGTAATTGAGTTACAGTTGAACAACAGCAAAAATTCGCCGACTGAAGAGTGCAGGCAGTGGATTTCAACAGTGTGACTAACATAGATTGAAAGTTGCTGGCTATTTTAGCTAGACTTCCTGCGGTCTCCACTTGCATTAATGAAGCTGGAAAAAGGGGAGGACAATTTTTGGTTTTTGCCCTGATTGTTCTGATTGTTCAGTTAGATTTAGTCACGAGTAGCGATAGTGTATTTTACAATGGTCGCATTGTTGATGATTAGGAGTTGAGGAATCAAGGACGAGGCGACTCACCTAATAAAAATCCCAGATCTCTCAACTGCTGTTTAGGTCATAAAATAGGTAAACACACAACGCGTGAATTTATGATTGCTCTTAAAGTAAGCAAAAACGTACGAGGCGCGAGATATTAAAAATGGTCGACAATCGTGGGGTCGAGCGACTGGGCGACTTTAGGGATCACTTTATTGATTTCCACCACTCCTGAATTCGACGCGAACGTTCACCCGTATCAAGCTAGGGGTTTCCATATGCTAGTGTATTTACCCCATCATCCAGCACATATCCGTTACTTCGTAACAGCTCATGTGACATTTTATTTATTTCATAATTTCGCACGTTATGTGATTTGGTTCTTATGATGTTTGTTTTATATAAGTGTTCTTCTGTTTCACTTTTGTGAGAAACACAGGAAGTCGTGGAATATAATGTTTTGGGACTTTCCCGTTGATATGATTCAATGCATCGCTATTGTTTACAAGTTATATAATTATCATGTAATGATTTAATTTTTTCCCTGTATCAATTTTCTAAGAAACACAGGAAGTCGAGTGATGTCTCTGATGTTTTTGTTTTAATTCCATACCAACGGTAGTCCTTACGCGTAAGACTGAAATTCAAAAAACTTATGATGGAATCGAAGCAGACTTGCTGAGCAGCAATCCTGAGCAGTGTATTGAAAGTGTGAATAAGTTATACAAATAAGTTCACTTAACTTTCGCGCTCTCATTGCTATTTTTTGAATTATAATTTACCTAGACTTGTCTCAAGTTTTCCCAAGTTGTGCTTTTGTCAATTGCCATTACGATTCTTTTGTAATAACATTTAAATTACAAAGAACGTTTGTGGAAAGGATAACCATGTTTGGGGGTACGTTTTATGATATTTGTCTAAAAATATAGTGTATTAGTATAGGTAATCATACGGTTTTTCTCGTGCAATTTGGAATTAATTTGCACGAGTGAGCTTTTTGAAAAACTCACCCGTGCAAGTTAATTCCAAATTGCACGAGAAAAACCGCATGATTACTTATTAATAATATAACCATGAACAAATTCGCGCGGACGAAGTGCCGGGAGATCTTTCTTGAAGCCATTTTTCGCATTCGAGAAAACTTTGTTCAAAGTTTCCGTACAAAATTTTTGTCATCGTTTTACATGATATCATCGGCTTAGAAAATTTCCCATTGTCTTTCAGCCAAATCATAATCCAGAATTACGATGTGTAATTTGCACTGGTGTTACACTTTTTGCACTTGTGTTACACTTGAACTGCACTGCTCTCAGCCAATCAGAATCGAGTAATTTGTTCATGTATATTATTATAGATGAAAATTGTAATGAGTTGCATGAGGATTTTAAATCTTTAATTTTTACAAATTGTGTATTTTGCTACGAGAAAATAGAAAGTAGATGTTGTAGTCGCCTGCGAATAATAAATGATGAAGACACAATTCTTTGTACATCTGGTGGTCAAATATCGTCTTATTTATATGTTAGCAAAAGGATGCATTTCTACGAGGACATGGAGAATGCGCTACATTCGATAATGTCACGCAAGATACAGATAGTATAACGAGTCGACTGAGTGTTGAGTTGAGAATGAGTTTAGTTTGAGCTGCGTTTGAGTTATGTTGAGTTACGATTGAGTTATTAATTAGAGTAACCGTTTTCTATATTTTTCTTCTCCTGAAAAGAGTTATATTACAGTCTGTAAAGGTCTAAATCCCTTTTTCGAAAAAAATAAGCATCATGGGTAGTAAAGTGACCCTTCAAGTCAAGGTGAATTTCCTTCACAATCTACCACTTATAAAAACACACTAATAGTAGGGCTAGAATATCCCTGCAGTAACAACTGGTATTCACAAATAGTAAAGACAATAATAGGTTATCCCTACAGTAATTCAATCAATTCAATTCCTTATTTACACTATATAGGGGATTTTAGGTACATAATGAAAATAGTTGAAAAAAGTAAAGAAATATAAAGTCGTATCCCTACAGTAACAACTGGCACTCACAAATGGTAGAGACAATGGTAGGTTATTCCTACAGTAACATTTAATGTTGCACACTTCAACTTACGCTTCGACAAAGGAACCGTGCTAAGAACCAATTACTTATCATAATATTGTGATGGATACGATTGACATTGTAGACCCAGACGAATATCAATGCTGACTTCTTCCGCATACTTTTGGTAGGATTATTTTCCAATGGTAACAATAGGCCACTTTCGATATATTAAAATTCAGTTTCAAAGCAAGGCCAAGAGGACAAAAATAAAAGAAACGAATAAACAGGTCATTCAATTTCCTTTGTTTGTGTCCTCTAAGCCTCACTGCCAAGCTGAATTTTAATATATCGAAAACAGTCTATTGCTTCTCAAATTCATCCATGGACAATGTTCGGCGAATACGCTTAGTAAAGTTACTAAAGTTCTACTTAGTATGGAGGTGAAGTGGTACAGCGTTTTTGTGTTGCTTGTTGGAGTCATTTTGAGTTTTGCTGACCCGATCACCGATATCCTCACACTGGTGGAATTCTACCGCGCGGATCACAAGACATGGTTTGGCGTGGGACTCGCGTTTGTCATCTTGCCATGCTTGTTTTTCCCGGTACCGTACTGTATGAATGAAGATGAGGAATTTAAACACTACACTCGCGTTAGGAAATGTGTGCAAACGTTGCTTTGTGGTTGCCATCCGTTTTCAGCCGCTTTGAAGAGACTGGAAGGGTTTGTTTTCTACTTGAAGCAATTGATGCGTGGCGATGAAATCGACTCGCACAGAAGGACGATGACTGAGGATGACATACAGCGTAACATATTTCCTTACGTGTCCTTTGAGTCAGTTCTCGAAGCAGCCCCTCAGTTTGTAATTCAGCTTTACGCCATGAATGTTCAAGAGGAGCCGGTGACTGTTGTTCAAATCATTTCTTTACCTGTGTCTTTCGTAAGCCTAGCTTGGGCTTTTACAACTGTTGATTTGGAAGTGCACCGAAGGGAAGGAAATGGCAATGCCTGGAAAGTAGAATACAAATTAGCTCTCTTTGTAACACAAGTATTATTGTTGAGCAGTCGACTTTTTGCCATCTGTTACTTTACGGTCAGCTATAAGTGGTGGGTAATGGGTGTTTTGTTCCTTCATATTTTTGTGTTAGTGATAACAGACACCGTTTGGATTTGCCAAAGGAGCTTGTGCCTTTTCGACGTGTCATTTATTTTCATTTTGTTGTATTGCCTTAACTGGCTAAGAGATGACGTTTCAGGTATGATGCGGCTGTTGTTAATTGTTCGAGACAACAAGAAAGAACTGCGAAGAATGCAACTGTTTTCTAATGTACTGTTTGGTTTAGAAAACCTGGTCATGATTCTGTTGTACTATTTCAGTCAACACTCCAGCAACTGGTACTCGCTACCAGTCACAGCCTGCGTGTGCGTGCTCAGTGTTATTGGTGCCGTCATAAGAGTTATACTTTTCCATTTCTTATATAAAGACTTAGACGACGAAATTGTAATTGATTCACAGTTGAACAACAGCAAAAATTCGCCGACTAGTGTGTGTAGACAGTGGATTTCAACAGTGTGACTAACATAGATTGAAAGTTTATGGATATCTTAGCAAGACTTCTTGCGCGGTCTCCACTTCCATTAATGTAAGTGGAAAAAGGAAACAAGGGGTATATGTGCTCTATAAAGGATGAAGAACATTTTTTGTTTTTTGCCCTGCTTGGTCTAATTGCTTGGATTTAGTCACGAGCAGCGATAGTGTACTTTACCATGGCAGTGAATTTCAACAGTGTGACTAACATAGATTGAAAGTTTATGGATATTTCAGCTAAACCTCTTGCGGTCTCCACTTGCATTAATGAAGCTGGAAAAAGGGGAGGACAAGTTTTGCTTTTTGCCCTGCTTGTTCTGATTGTTTAGATTTAGTCACGAGTAGCGATAGTGTATTTTACAATGGTAGCATCGTTGATGATTAGGAGTTGAGGAATCAAGGGCGATGGCGACTCACCTAATAAAAATCCCAGATCTCTCAACTGCCGTTCAGGTCATAAAATAGGTAAATACAGAACGCGTGAATTTATGATTGCTCTTAACGTAAGAAAAAAGGCACGAGGCGCGAGATGCTAAAAATGGTCGACAATCGTGGAGTCGAGCGACTGGGTGACTTTAGAGATCAGTTTACTGATTTCTCTTAGATTTCCATGACTCCTGAATATTCGACCTGAACGTTCGCTTGTAACAACCTACAGGTTTCCATATGCTAGTGTATTTACCCCATCATCCAACACATATCCTTTATTTCGTAACAGCTTAGTGACAATTTATTTATTTCATAGGTTCTCACGTTATGTGATTTGCTTCTTATGCGGTTTATTTTAAATAAGTGTTCTTCCTGTTTCAACATAGGAAGTCGTGTAATATAATGTTTTGGGACTTTCCCTTTGATAAGATTCAATGCATCGCTATTGTTTACAAGTCATATAATTAACACGTAATGGTTTAATTTTTTCCCTGTATCAATTGTCCAAGAGACACAGGAAGTCGAGTGATGCGTCTGATGTTTTTGTTTTAATTCCGTGCCAACGATAGTCTTACACGTAAGACTGAAATTCACAAAACTTATGATGGAATCAAAGCAGACTTGCAGAAGAGTAATCAGGAGCATTGTATTGAAAGTGTGAATAAGTTATACAAATAGGCTTACTTAACACTCGCGATCTCATTGCTATTTTTGTAAATTATAATTAACCAAGACTTGTCTCAAGTTTTCCTAAGTTGTTTCTTTGTCAATTGCCACTGCGATTTTTTGGTAGGAACTTTTAAATTACAAAGAAAGTCTGTGGAAAGGACAACGATGTTTGGGGATACATTTCATGGCATTTTTCTAAAAACATAGTGTATTATAAATGAAAATTGTAATAAGTTACAAGAGGTAAAAGAAAATAGAAGTTGTAGTCGCCTGCGAATATTAAATCATGAAAGGACAATTCTTTGTGTATCTGGTGGTCAAATATCGCCTTATTTATATGTTAGTGAAAGGATGCATTTCTACGAAGACATGTAGAATGCGCTACATTCGATAATATCACGCAAGATGGAGGTAGTATAACGAGTCGACTGAGTGTTGAGCTGAGAATGAGTTGAGTTTGAGCTGCGTTTGAGTTATGTTGAGTTACGATTGAGTTAAGTTTGAGTTACCGTTTCCTTTATTTTTCTGTTCCTAAAAAGTGTTATATTTAAGATCCAAATCCCTTTTTCGAAAAGAATAAGCATCATGAGTAGTAAAGTGACCCTACAGACATTTGAGAGAAACGCATTTTTCTCATTTTATGTTTTTATGGCATTGCACATTTTATTAAAAGCGGGAAAAATCTGATGGATTTATATGTAACTACACCTACTCAGTGGAAACCACAGATCTCAACGTATTATTTATCGAGAATCAGTGCTCTAATCGTCCAGAATAGTAGCTCAGGGCTTTTACAGTAGTAAGTCGTTCCACATTGGACAAACACGTTCCAAAGACTTGGTGTTTTGTAGTACATCTCTTTGTGCCTGAGCTAAGAAATTAAAAACAACAGCAGCAACAACTGACTGGCAATTCGTTGTTCTTCCCCGGTTCTGAGATTGCAAAGGGCGAATAGCTGTTGTCATTATCACTTGAGGAGTTACCATAGCACCCCAACGAATGCTGATCTGATCGTGCGATTGCGTGAAACACGAAGTGGTAATTTTACAGGTGGTCACAGGTGGCCCAAGCTGTAAATGCTGAGCATACATATATATGCAGAAGTACTCGGGTCACGCAACAGTCGAAATATAAGGATTTGTATGGCAAAAAGAGGTTTTTTCTTAAGCCTAAAAATAGGAGGGAGTATGAATAAAGATAAACCTACCTCGCTTCAGGTGCGTGTTTCCTTGTTTTCCGTTAGGTTTCCAGGCCAATTTATCGCCATTTGGGTGGATGTTTACCTTCACTGCCTTGTCCTGCGAGGATTGGTTGTTATGTTGTTATGTCGAAGCGCTTCACACTTGTTTTAACGGAAACATAACATCATGACGAAATAGTCATAACAACATAAGGAGAAGATCTGTTTTGTCGTTATGTTGCTATATTCATGCTGTTAGGCTTGGTTCACACGAGCGATACAACGACATTAACGACATAACAACATATGACAACATCATCGCTTATGTCGGTAATGTGAACCAGACCATAATGAAAATATCGGTGTTTTTTCCTTATTTCGTTGTGTTCATGCTGTTATGTTGCTATCATTATATAATAACTGAGGGAGTTTGGGACAACCCTATAAGGTTCCTCCCCTCAAATAAAAAAATAAAATAAAAAATAATAAAAGAACAATAAGAAAATTAAAAAAATGTCCTTCCCCAGCCCCCAACAAATATAAAAAACAAACAAACAAAAAATAAATGTAATCATATTTAGCAAAGTATAGAAAAGTTAGCTTGTTGACAGGTTTTTTTATTTTTAAAATTTTTTTT